GGACAGTGTGTCTCTTTTGGCAGTGTCATGGTCAAACAAGTAAATATGTATTTTGGTAAGGTGCCTAATTTTGAAAACATCTATGGATCTGTCCCCTCATGCTCTCCTTAGTGTGTTTCTAATTCTAGTCAGTCAGTTATTGACATCATAGATGTCAAATCCAAGTATGTTTGTTTGTTGGTTGGGTTTTTTTCTTCATATTGAATCACTTTAAAATTACTTTTAAATTCTATGATGAGGGTCTGGATTGCTGCATAGTAAAGGCACTGGGTTTCTAGTATAATAGCAGAAGTTAGGGATGGTGTATCCCAGAACTCCAGTAGTGGTGTCTCAGCATTTCCTGTCAAGGAAAAGGTAGCAGACTACCAGCTTCTATTAATTTTTTACCTCTCAGCTGAAACTGTTTCTAGCAGAGTTTATTTGTGCTTTTTTATTACCAGTGTGGAAGGATCTGCCCTGAACTAATGAAAAATGTCAAACTTTCCGCTGCTGAAAATTTGGTAGAGAGGATGAAGTAATGCTGAGCTGCTGCTGCTGATGATCTCTTGCGGATATGGAGGGCATAGCGAAAGTCAGACAAAGAAACACGGGCAAAGAGGAGAGAAGAGCTACAGGGTGACTTTACATGCTCAAAATCATCCTGTAATTTTTCAAAACCAGCTAATGCCATTCCAGAAAATGTGCGTGGTTTGGAAGTGGCTGCAGCAACAGAAGAGAAGCAACTTTCCTTGAAAAGGAGGAAAAAACCTAAGAAAACCCATGTGGTGTAGCTTTTGATTCCTTCCACTTTTGGTGGTTGGTTGTTTTCTTTCATTACATGAAGGGTGTGATTACAGTCAGTTCCTCACTTTACTCTGCCTAACAGCCAAGCAAAGCACTGATGGAGAGCGAGCGGGTACCTGGCACTGTTGCTCCCAGCAGAAGTGGCAGGAGCTGAAGGAGTTGCATTGCCTCAGCAATGCTCACCTCCTCCAAACCGGTGCTTCATCAAGGAAGCATGGAAGTGTTGCATATAATGTGAGAGTGAGGGCGAAGATGGTGGTGGACTTACCTGTGGGACTCCAAAAAGAAAAGAAAGATCTGCGGAAGTGGAGGCCTGTCACAAGAGTGAAAGCAGAGGGACCACTTTCACTTGGAAAAGTGGGACGTAGTGGCAGGATGGAGCAAACTGTTCAGGTGGAAAACACTTGAATACTCCTTGTGTTATTTCACATCTGAACTGATGTGAAAATATAAATCTTATATTGCTGATATGTTAATAATTCAGCATAACCTAATACATTTCTAGCTCCTGTTGTAGTGCCAACAAGTAAGTTGCTGCTTTGTTATGCTTGTGTAAGTGGAGTACCTGAAATAAAGTACCTGTATTTTATTGGTTTATCTTTGGAAGTTATATATGATTCAGAGCTTTCAGCATATGAATTGACCAAGATCAAGGTTGTAGATCGCAGTGCATATGGTTATAACATTCTTACTTATATGAAGAAAATTAGCTAATATTTTATATGAGCTATTAAAACTTATTTAGCTTTTACCTAATAAATATTTATTAGCTGCTAAATGTCAGTCATTCCTGGCTGATCAGTGAGGTTCTCCAGGAGACAGCTTCAGCTGGGAAGGCATCTCTCTCCTGCCCTCTCTGCACGGTTTCACATTAAGCAACATCTTTCCCACCTGCTGCTTTTTGCCCGCGGTTGGAATTTCCCTTTTCAGTGCTTGTCACCAAGTCTGGATTGAGATGTGAGTATCTTGCACTTCCTAGCAATCAGAAAGGGGCCAGTTCTCCAGGACAAATCCTCTTAGAGACATGAATTGGTTTGCTTTGCAGGGAGGATTGAAATGGATGATCTGTTCAAGCAACGCTGTGATCTACCGAAATGTGGAATTTAGGTAGATATTACGCATGTCACACAGCTGAGTTTCTGAACACATTTTTTTCTTTGGAAAGTCAGTTTTTAAATGTCAGTATACTCATTTCTGAAGTTTAAGCATCCAGAATTGACAGGTGTGTTTTTAGGACTAGGCAGTCTGTGAGAGGCAAGTAGGAAGGCAGTACTAAAATAAAGCTTTAATGTCGAGGGATGACAAGTCTGGGAGTGCTGTGTCTGCCATTTTCCAGGGCACCATGGGCCACGCAAATGAAGGATTTTCTACAGAGAAGGAAAGGAGTAATTCATCTCTATGTGTTACAGCTCTTTGATGGCAAGAGTAGAATCCCTCTATATGAAAGCGTTGTATGTTCCAAGGGGGGAAACAGGCAGGACAAGGGGGAACTAACAAGAATTGTCCAGAATTGTGTTGTTTTGTTTGTTAACAAACAATAGACTAGGTAAAAACCCAACAAAATAAAAGATCCACACCAAAGTGTAACTGATTTTACCATGATCAGTGAGAGCCTAGCAGGCTACCCTCAAACAACAGCTTGGGATAGCTGCTGGGCCTTTTAAAAAGAAGTGATTGCTAAGTGGTATTTTGCTGGTGCATTAAGTGGTGGTTTGCTGCAGAACTGCCTCGGGGAATCAAAACAAGTTAGGGACTTTACTTTTTCAAATGTAAAAGTTTCAGTTGCCTAGCAGGTCAGAGATTTCTGTGTATCAGCATGATCTGCCTGGATTATGGAGCTGGATTTAGCTATGTGCTTTTACCATTTTTAAAAGTCAGCGCTTCTTAGCAATTTTGTATAAGGAACTCCAGATACTGTATGAATTTCCTTTTCAGTCAGTGTGTTCTGTGTGAGGTTTTATTTATATTTTTTTAAGGAGACCACAGCATATGAAACTTTGAGGATTAAAAGTACCTTCCAAGGGTGTAATTACAATGCAGTTCTCCGCTGCCTTACACTTGTTTTGTAAACTGTTGCTATACAGCTGAACTTACCCTTTGAATGAAGCCTTATGTACCACCAGTTAATATTTAAACCAAACCACACGCTTAAAATTGGCTACCCATTTACCCCAGTTACATTAAATTAGAAGCTCCAGTAACAAAGTGAAAAGGCTCTTGTTTTATAGCATGAGCTGCTTTCCCACCCTCAGGCAGCAAACTTATTTTAAGTTTCTTACTCTGAAGAAAATAGAGTTCAGTCCTACAGCTGCACGTAGCCATCTCAGTGCTGTGGAAATAGAAACTGGGGCTATCCCAAATGCATAGCTCATCCTGTAGCCAGCAGGCATCCGTGCAGTACAGTGGATGGCCATGGCTTCTCTGAGCGTGCCATGGGCGAGCAGCAGCGCCGGGACTGCAGCGTCTCCACACACGTGCCCATTCCCAGCTCAGCCTCTGCCATCCTGCACCTGGTGAGCAAGGTGCCCTAAGGATGATGTGGTAGCCAGTTTGGGGCACCCAAGGACCCCTCTGCTTTTGGTGAAGTAAAGGCTGACCTTGCAGCCACTGAAGGTATGGGGAAACTTAACTTGACATTGTCGTGGTTGAAAGCAAAGCAAAGCGATGGGGTGGGCAGCCCTCCTGCCAGAGCCCCACTGCCAGCTTGCTGCAGAGCTGTGCCCCAAGCCCCTCATGGTTTCTCTACGACTGGGGAGGTGCAGGGACTCCCCAGTTCTGCAGCTGTGTCCTCACTGGGGAGCAGGTGGGCAGGGCACACAGCTGGGAGCCCCATGCTGCCATGTGGAAGTGTGTCCCTGCTTGGTGGCCCCACTGACCCTTTCCTTCTCCTGTAGCTGAGGGTCTGGACTGCCCTGCTGTTGGTACATGATGGCCATGCAAAACAAGTGAGGTCTGCCTGTGGGCTGGGGACCTTGGCTTGGCCACGTGGCCTCAGTGGCTGAAGCCAAACTAAATCAGGAGGCTCGAGGATTTCAGTCATCAAGGGAGAGAGGTCAGTGTTTCCTTGTTGCAGGCATCAACATCAGTTAGTGTATGTGCTTTGCTCTACTGGATGATGGTCTTTATTGTGCTGGGATTTAGGACAACCCCAGTCTCTAATTTACTCTATGACTAGATGCTGCTGAAGAAAAAGTGTTTTGGTTGCATAACACTAAATAGTGGTTGATCCATCACCTCACTTGGCTGTCTTCAGTTTCTGGTGATTGTCCACCTCTAAATAAAACCTTGGATGACTGTGATAGAGTTCATGTAGTAACAGCTATAAGCTGGGCACCAGTTGATACATATGTAAGACATACTGTGTGGGGAGTGTGGTGGTGATGCTCAAGTTAGATAGATCCCGTGTGTTATTTTTTTGTTACTCTTGCATCTACCTCATTTTCTGGGACCTCTTAATTTTTAATAGTGCCAAATAAAAAAATCGTAGGTGTTTAAAGTGCAAACATGTATGATGTCCTTTAGAGTTGTAAATAAGTAAATAAAACAAAAATGAAGAGAACTTGTATTTTTCAGAGCAGTCCTTTGCAGCCTGAATTAACAAAACAAAACAAAACACAAAAAAAAAAAGAAAAAAGAAAGAAAAAATAGCAAATTGGTTGAAATCCATTACTTTTGCACATGCTCCAAATTCAGCATGCAGAGCAAGGCCAAATGTGGTCCTTGGTGGGACTCCTTGTTATGCATAAAGTGAGGCATGTGTGGGAGCATCTGGTGGTCCAAGCTCAGAATCACAGGTTGTGGACAAACCCTTATCCAAAAGTGCTAACAGGATACTGGGCCAAAACTGACCCAGTGTGTTCCTTGAGGGGTTTGTTGGCTCCATTAAAATGCTCCACAGAGTGGTTTCACTGTTTTGGATTGAGCCAAGACAGGCCTGAGCATGCTGGAGATTTGTTTATTTATTTACAAACTTACAAAATGATGTAGCCAGTTTTAATGCGCTGGAGGGAGGAAAGGGTGGTACAAAATTCAGTATAAGCACTGAATGGCATGAACACTTTGACTTTGCTTTATTCAGCACCATATCTTGGTGAAAAGACTATGAAGGAAGTAAACCCCACCAGGTGTTGCGTTGGGAGGAGCAGTCTGCAGGCTCAGGCTGAGCAGGAGGAGCTGACAAATGCAGAGAAGAGGCAGCTGGTTGCCTTGGAAGTTTGTCCTAGAAACAGTTGCTTCTTTTAAAAAATAAAAAATAAATCAAATGATATGTACCAAAGGCAGTTTATGTGCTGTGTTTGGCAATTAAAGTTAGGAATGCAGCTGAGAGGGAGGATGCAGATCACTGCAGACAAGCATGGAATTGTCTCAGTGGGAACGATGAGTAACTCCAGAAGAGTCCTGTACAAGTGGCTCACTTATTTTAGTCAGCCATTCAGAGAGGGAACTGAAATGGCAGAAGTCTGTGAATCTTAACAAGTTTCCACCATGCTAAATGGAAAAAGGGTGTTTCTTCTGTGCTTTACATGAAGGAAAGCAGTGGTGGTCATTGCCTGTGTAGTTCTGTTACCTGTCATTCCTCAACATGACTGAAGCGCAACACATGTGATGTCCCTGTTTCAGTTAAGTAATACTTTCCATCCCAGTGGAAGCATAATAAGCATACTTATTTGTGAAGCAGTCCTGTTTTTCTTATTTGGTAACTGGCAGTTGGCTGCTCTTCTCTCCTCCCAAATCCTCCCCCTACCCCAAACTCAAATTACAAAGCAGTGTAGGAATAAACCCGTGGCATCTTTTGTGTCTCTGGTTCTGCAGCCCAGGCCTGGCTGAAGCCCAGGTTTTTGGGTGGCCACTGCCTTGCTCCTGCTTTAGGATATTCTGCACTGCACAAGGAGTGGATCTTTGCAAAGACTGGAATTGCACTGTAATGCCTGGGAATCTGCAGTTGTAGACTTTGGTTTAGCATTGAGTTGGCCAACTCATACCAGGTGTAGGCGCTGGTCCAGCAGAGGTTGTGCATGTGAACTTAAGTGATGTTGCAGAGTTGAGTCCTTCAAAGTTGATGCCGCATGTTACAGATGGACTGAGACTTTAGTTCTGCTCTTACACAGTCACCATTCCTGGAAGTTATTAATGTTTCTCATTCTGCCAGAGATGCTTTGATCTCATGTCCTGTATAGATCAGGCACAGGTGGGGTCTGGTCTATTGCAGTGGGGTACTTTGCTTGAAACTGTTCTCACTCCTGTGTCCCACCGAAGCTGGTTGCTCTGCCCCTGGACTGGGGAGTGGGCAGGATGTGCGGGCATGTACCCTGTGGTGAGTCCAGTGAGTTCATACCTCCAAAGCCTGTAGTCAGTTC